CACCAAAATTTTTAAAAATGTGCATGGAGTTCTGCTTTAACCAATTCAATTGCTAAACAAAGGCACATTCACAAAATTACATTACAGTGATCAGAATATAAATAATTCTATAATGTGCGGGCCATTTTATAGGAATGCTAGACTTCCACTACACTCCTCACACTTTTCAGCTTATTTTATGAAGAATCCTTTTATTTGACTCTGAAAAACAATATATACTGTACAGCATGTAGCATGGCTGGAAACAAAGACACATATCTGGAAGTGCAGGCTGGGATTATGCAGTACATGTTTCCCTAAACAGAGCACTCCGGAGAGGATAAGGGAACAGGAAAGATAAATTTAGAACACTTAAAATCCATCCATCATCCTGGGCACCGATTTCCTTCTTCAAGGAAACTATCGAAACCAACCAAGATTTCTGCTTCAAGATAATCTACAAATTTCCAACTGTTTAACCGAGAACCAATTACTGGCGCAGACCAACAACTTCATTTCAGTTTACCATTTCAGGCAGATTGGATTGCACACAAATCAATTCGGACTAAATTTGTATGTTGGGATTTTCTGAGCTCTTTTCCATGCCATATTTTAACATTATTTAAGGAAGGATTAAATCTTTTATATTGTACGGAGGAGCTTAAAACATATTTTGAGAAGAAAATTATAAATGTTCCTTTGTAAGTAATACCCTTTACTGCTTCCTAGAAAACTACCCAACTGTCCATATTCTGATGTAAAACTTCAGAAGAGGAAAAAGCATGCGATATATGTAAAATGCTTGCTGGGTGCGTTTGGAAATTTTTGGTGTTTCCTGATGTTTTGCACAATGCATAAATGTCACAGCCGCTGTATTACCTTCTTTTTAGGGGCGGGGGGGGGATGTATTAAAACTGGAACAGACAGAATTCAGAGCAGTTGCCCAGCCAATCAGCTTCTATCTTTCAATTTCAAAGCTTCACTGAACAAACTGAAAAGAGAAACGGATTGGTTACTAGGGCTGCAACCAACAAATCGACTCATTGATAATGAGAATAGTTATCAACTATTCTCATTATGGATTAGTTGGTTGGATCCCTTAGTTCTCGCCTCCATGCTGGGAGGAGGGCACAGCAAGCAGTGGGGGGGAGTGCAGTAGCCAGCTATTTGCTATTGCATTATGAAATGGCCGATAGCAGCCTGGCTATTTCACCAGCCCACTACCT